TGGAGCCTGGCTGGCCAGAGCCACACTCTGGCTGCTGGCCTGGCTCTGTGCACCCAGACTGCCGCTCTTGGAATCCAGGAGGCCCCCTGGACTCCAAGTAAGGCTGCTGGAGCCAGCCCAAGTGCTGGCCCCAGCCTCCCCTACCCCACTGAGGCAATTTATCACACGCCAGAGTGCACATGCAGGGGCATGCCCAGGGACAACTAGTAGTGACACAAATATGTACTGCTGCTAGTTGTCCTTGGGGAAACGCATGTTCCTGCTTATGGGGGTGTGCCCTTAAGTAATAAAATGCTCCTTAAGTGAGAATGTTTTTGCCAGAATTGGTCTCTTAGAATAGACAGGATCTTCTGAAGTACAATCGGAAGTCTTTATACTTGCTTATAGCAATATTTATTGATCAGTCCTAAGCACTATTCGATTCAGTTTACATTTTTTTAATTCATCAGGATTTGAAGGTACAAGATAATATATACATAATTATTTCTTATATTGTACCCCATTGTAGACAGTAGAAACTGAAGTTCAATCAGATGAAGAAGAAGATATATTAAGCGTCAAAAAAAATTTCAAAGAAATGATGCTGAAGGAATCGCTATCAAATGGTTTGATACGGCGATCAACTCGGAAGAGCATCAAAAAAACAAGAGTACAAAACAATGGTTTTGATGTGAAAGCTGTTCAGCCTGTAAGCATCTCTTCTTTAGCAAGACATTATATAGTCAAATAAACACTATTCTCTCAAATAGTAGGGTGGGAAAAAGGATTCTTGCTTAAACGAAGTTACGTTAAAAATATCATACAATGTGCAAAGATGTACAAAATCTGTACAAAAAGTCTTAATATGATACCATAGAAGGCTACTCTTTTTTAATTACTCAACATTGCTACTGAAAAATTCTAATCAATTGAGGGGGGCAGTATTTGTGTACACATTTGTAAACTGTGAATCATATTTTGATCTAGTTGTATTCTTATACTCTAGTTGTACTTAATACAAGTAAAGTTTATGTGAAAGATCATATAAACAGTTTTAGTCTACTATAATATAAAAATAAGCTTTTATGTATGAAACAATTTCTTCAATGTGGAAGTATTATATATAAGTTATCAGAAAACTGTGATGTAACATGTAGCTCAAATAGCATATTCAGAGTAGCAGATGGCTGAATTACTACATTTTTCTACCTATAGATTGAAATCTGCTTGATCCATATAGTGAATTAGTAAAAATGTGAATAAGGTATAATCTACTCAGACATAAATATTACAGATTCTCTGTCAAAGAACAGTGAAGTAGTTAGGGTTCCTTTACTGTGTATCTACCTTGCCTTCTCTCTGACTTCAGAATAACACAGCTTGGCTTCTCCCTGACTTGAGACCTCCCTTGCTGCAGAAACACACACGTTTCTATCTCTTCTTTCAGGTATTAATATGGTGTATTAAGTGCACATCTTGACAAGACAAGAGGTATTGCAAGATGTACCATACTTAATGTATATATATTTTTTTATTTAGAAAAGTAAGGGTCAGACTTGATGATCTGCTCAGGTCCCTTCTGACCC